AAAAGCAAGATTCTCTGATACAACACAGAATGCACCAATCCAATCAAAATTGACGGAGAAGATTTGGAAGATGTAAAAACCTTTACATATTTGGGCAGCATCATTGATGATCAGGGTGGATCTGATGCAGATGTGAAGGCGCGGATCGGTAAAGCAAGAGCAGCATATTCACAACTGAGGAACATCTGGAACTCAAAGCAACTGTCAACCAACACCAAGGTCAGGATTTTCAATACAAATGTCAAGACAGTTCTACTGTATGGGGCAGAAACCTGGAGAACTACGAAAGCCATCATCCAGAAAATACAGGTGTTTATTAACAGTTGTCTATGCAAAATACTTCAGATCCGGTGGTCGGACATTATTAGCAACAACGTACTGTGAGAGAGAACAAACCAGACTACAGCGGAGGAAGAAATCAGGAAGAAGCGCTGGAAGTGGATAGGACACACATTGAGGAAAGCACCCAACTGTGTCACAAGACAAGCCCTCACATGGAATCCTCAAGGCCAAAGGAAAAGAGGAAGACCAAAGAACACATTACGCTGGGAAATGGAAATAGACATGAGAGAAATGAACAAGAATTGGATGGAACTAGAAAAGAAGGCCCAGAACAGAGTGGGTTGGAGAATGCTGGTTGGCGGCTTATGCTCCATTAGGAGTAACAGGCGTATAAAATATATGTTGATAATTTAATTTACTAAATGATGAAACATCCAGATTTCATTAAATAAGTAAATAATTGAGTATACACAATTACTTGCGTCATTAATATATAACGTAAGGTGTAGTTCGCCTTTATAACAGTATGCACTTACGCCATTTGTTCAACCAGGATCCTGGAGCTCATGTGCACCATTGGTTTGGAATTGGGGTTTTCCAACTCCTAGGTGGATCCTCCATGTTCACCAACCCGGTTAAAGCGTAGGATATCCGCTTTCCATCCTCCAAATTTCGTCAACAATACCCTGATAGCGAGAATGCAGTGTGTAGGACTAGATATGATATAAATTCATCCAAAGCTTGCTATTTTGATATTCTGTAGTGTTTGTACATGATGCCTGTCTGATTTCGAGTTCCAAATACAATACGTTCGTTTGTGCTCACCTATATTTGTCTGTTTAGACATCGCTATTTCGAGGATTCCTAGTTCGTATAATAATTCAAATACTTCTAACTGTCACATTGGCGTCGCGATGGAGCATTTTGTGGAACAGTTGAACATAATTTCGAATTTTGATGCTTTCTAGAATTTTATGGAAAGGTTCAAAATCTACACTACGATCAAGTAAGATGTTGAAAATGTTAATGTTGTGACCCATTTCTTTACATTCATTTTAAAACAAGCCTATAGCTTATTAAAAACCTTCGGCATTCCCAGATAAGCCAATTTCACTCTCCCATGCAACTCTCAAGGAACTGCTACTAGACTATGTAAAGTGTACAAATTTTGAGTGGTGTAAAGGAAGAAGATTTCATAAAATGATACTTCAAGACATCAAGGATTCCACTACTACGTTATGCCAATCCGATGTTTATTCAAGGTTATGCAGATGAGCGCAAGCTTGGTAACTGTTTATCCTGTGACAAATTTCACTCATGTAATTCATGTGTATTTCGTAATCCTAAATGCTTTAAATTTGGTCAAAATGGACACACAGACAATTTGTAATACTATTGTTCATTTACTTTCAAATAATGCTAAACTTTGTAATTCTGATCTTATTAAGTTGAATGTTCAAAATGAATTATACTCTTATCAGATTCATTGCATTATTTTTCCAGATGTGCATCGTTCCCATGATTCATGTATTTCCAATAAATTATTTACAGATACATGGAAGATATATCCAGTGCATCAAATCTTGATTAGAACTTTCATGTTGTTGTACCAGATATGGTTTGTCCTGATGATTCACATATTTCTGATGAGATTTATTTTAAGTGTGAGGAAAATATTTTAAGTGAATCAAATCATGATCGAAAATCTGTTGTAGTTTTGATAGATGCTGATTTTTCAAGTGATTAATCAATTTCTAATAAAATTCGTAATCAATTTGAGGAAAATATCTCAGAACAATCAAATGTTGATGTCATATTAAATGTTATTTGCCCTCATAATTCGTCTGTTTCTTGTGCGAAACTTGTTCGATGAGAAGCACGAGTCCTAAATAAGCTTGATTTCGATTACAATTTGGATGATTTGTAGTCAACTGTTGTTCATTCTTATCATGAGGTTGCTTTCAATGAATACTCTAATAGATGTGAGAAATATGTTTTAAATGAAGCTACATTTATAACTTGGGGATACAAAGATCCAACATTATTTCGTGGAGGGGGAGGACAGTATTGGAAAATCTATGGTTTGAATTCTAGATATTATTGATTTCAGTACAAGACCAACGTGTTAAACAAATACAATTCCATAACCCAGGTGAGTTCGTTCCAATTTCAGTTGTTAATTCTAATACTAATAAGTATATTCCAGATCATACAGAGTGTACATATAATACACAGTCAGACAGACATATGATGAACCTAAGGAGAAGTAGAGTTGATTGTAGAAATTCGGATTCTCATTTAAGCTGTGGCGGATGTGGTCTTAGTATGAATTAATGATTCCTTTGTACTTGATACCTGTCTAATTTCAAATTCCAAATACAGTAAGTTCGTTTGCCCTCACCTATTTCTGTATGTTTAGATTTCGCTATTTCGAGGATTCCTAGTTCGTATAATAATTCAAATACTACTAACTATCACATATTCTCAGTGTATTTAAGATTGATAAATCATATGAATACAGAGAAAAATTAACTTCTTAAAATTCTCACATCGTTTTTGTTGTCAGATCTTTTAAAAAAAATACTAAAAGTAATATTGTAGTGTGTGCTACTTTGTACAGACAGGTATAAGTAGTAGGTATCAAGAATTGGAAGTAGAATTCTTACTGACAGAAAAGGAACATGAGGAGATGAAAGAGAAAAAACAAAAGCAGTCCAAGTAGTAACAGGAATGGAAGGACAATGGAGCTTGTAAGAAACAATTCAAGAACAATATGCAACTGTATGCACTGAATGGATTGCGCTCATATTTTGCAAATAGAGTGTGGTTTAGTACCCTGACTAAGCTAACCTTTATAACGATATCTTGGAATCCTACTTGAGAATACTGGTCTATGTACCCTAAATACAAATTTTATATTGAAACAATTGCTACTTATGCAAACTATTTTCCACACACATCTATTCAGTTCATGCTAATTATTAAGATATTAGTACATATATTGATTGATAAAATCTCATTATTCTTATAGTAATACTGTGGTGTGTGCTACTTTTATCGACATAAGTAGTATATGACGTTAGTCAGGAACAGAATGTCTGGCAACAGAAAGACAAGAGGATCAAACAGTAAAGAATGGAAACAGAACGCAATTTGTATGAAAATATAATAACAATGAAGTCTGAGTCATTTTAAGACAACTGATGGTCATTTTACAAATTTTATTAACAAGTTCTATAATTTTGTGTCAATTACATTCGATTGTCCTCAGTCATATTCTTGTTCACTATAATACTAGATAAACAGATTGTTTCAAACACAATTCAATAGTTTTCAAGATAAATAATTATTCAATGAAAACAAAAAGTCTATGAATTTCCAATAATTTGATGGTAGAGAAGATTTGTAGCTCAGGTGGACGATTTTAATTGAGTTTTGTTCTCTGAGCTGGATGGTTGGAAAAATGTAGAAATCTTGGATAGAGGAGATTCCAAAAGCACCAGAGAATTTATAGAAGCCTGACACTCAGCTCAATCAGCAATCAACGAGCACATTGAAATCGATCCAATTTACCAATCAATCAGGAAAATTATGCACAAATATAGGAACAAAAATCAAACCAATGGGAGACATAACCAAAATAAAGGAGTAAACAATGACAAATTTAAAGTCAGTAAGAACCAATCAACATCGAGGTGTACAGAACAAGCTGTAAAACGCATATGGAGGAATTCAAACACTTCACTTTTACTTGAAGTTTGTGCTGATGATGTCGTTCAGAAGAATGATGAAAGCTCCACGATCAAACCATCCAGCTTAGAGAACAAAACTCGATCAAAAATTTCCAATCGTTATCTATTTTGAATGATCGATGTTTTAGTTACTATGTAGCCTTTTCTATGTTATGTTTTCTTTTTAAAAATTATTATTTCACCTTCAATCTAAAGTCGTCATGTTAATATAAAAAAATCAATTAAATGATTAATGAATAAATGTACTTTAAACAAATAACACTTTAATAAATGTATCATATGATATTACATTCAATCAATTTCTCTATTTGTATTATACATATTAGGTATTATAATGTTTACCTTTACACCTGATGTAACAATAATATAATTAATCAATATATATACATATATATATACTCACGTCATATTGTTCATTTACATTATATGATAATCATAATTGTTCATTATTATTATCATCACTATGTATACATAATGTATACACATCAATTTTACAATTTACATCTTTTTTATAAATAACAAACATTAATATTACTAATCATAATAATAGTAATAGTTTCGTTCAATGAATATTTATATTGTAATAATACTGGATAAGAAAACCATTACTATTAATATTATTATTACTGGATTCACTTGGTACTATTCACTTGAATCTTCCTATTGATGTTTAGGACTATAATTGGTCAGTCTCATTAATAGTATTATTAAATCCACTTGATACTATTTGCTTGGATCTTCCAATAGATGTTTAGAACTGTAATTGATCAGTCTCAATATTATTATTATTATTGTTAAATTCACTTGGTGCTGTTTACTTGAATCGTCCTACTGATGTTTAGAACTGTAATTGATCAGTCTCATTATTATTATTATTATTATTAGTAGTAGTAGTAGTAATATTATTATAATGATTATGTTTCTTATCTAAATATCACAAATCTATTTTTAATTTAATTAATTATCATGAAAAAAATCAATAATCATGAATCTAATCAATTTATTGATTATAAAACACGTCAATTATTATTTTTTCATTGTCATTTAAAATTAATTAAACAAATATTTATTAAAAATAATGAAACATTTAATGAAACTTATGCAAATTATTTATTAAATAAATATTTAAATAAACATAGAAAATCCAAATGTATCGCCTATTTTCTTATTGATCGTATACGTTTTAAACAATATAAAAAGGTAATTTATATAAAACCATTTCGTAAAGAAATAATTTATCGTGAAATTAAACATTTTTTTATATTCCCTAATTATCCACAATTATTTATGTTATGTATTATAAATGAAAATAATAATCATAATCATAATAATAAAAAATCTTATGAATTATATCAATGTATGAATTATAATGATGTTAGTATTGTATGCCATTTAACATATAAAGCATCTATTAATTTATATCATACATTACATGATCCAATCACATTAAATCATTTATTACATAATACTAATCATAATTATCAATATTATTGTAATTCAAAACATCAATTCAATTATTCAACATTCAATAATTCATTGAATCAAACAAATAATCATTTGAATGTTATAAAATCAACCAAACAAATTGATCATTCTATTGTAAAGAATAATTCAAATTTGAATTCTAATTCTAATTTTATCATTCATAATTCCAATGATTATTCAATAAATAATAATAATAATAATAATAATAATAATAATCATTATTTAATTAAAAAAGGATCAATAAAAAGTACATCAAATTTAGTATGTTCTAATAATTTACAACCAAAATTTTATTCATTACATAATTTATATTCAAATAAATCAGAATATATTAATCCAAAGATGAATATAACTAAAAATCATGTATATAGTGATTATTCTGCAAGCAAACTGTTCCCTATCCCTTACAATAATAATAATAATAATAATAATAATAATGAGCAAAAGCATAGTTATATCAAAGATAATAAATTATATAAACAAAAGACATTAAATTCAACGTCTTCAACATCACCATTATCATTGACAACATTTAATGATGATTATGATTTCAACAAATATATACATACAAAACAAGATATATATTCTACAAATTATCCTATGAATACCAAGAGAAATTCAATTGATCTTAATCAACATTTAAGTCAACCATTAGATTGTAATCATGATGTTAGAATGTTAAAAACATTGACAATACCTACAGGAAATAAAGTTTATTATCGTAAAAAAGATTTAAATATTTATCATGACAATGTGAATGTGAAAATGAATGATTATGGTTTTTACAATGATTATGATGATGATGATAATGATTATAATCATCTTGAAAATAAACTCAGGAAGTGTAAATCTAATATTGATATAGGGTCAGCTGATACGACTTATTTATGTTATGATCCAGTTGTTGGTATACGTATAAATAATAAGGGCCCAATTTATATGTATATGGCACGTTATAATTCTACTGTAATATCATCAAATCATGATTGTGTAGATTTGGAAACTTATTGAACAATATATTACTTATAATCTGTTTTGCGTATTTCAGTTTTGTCATAAAATTCAACTCAAATTCATTTTATGTATATATACATTCTCTAGAACTTTCATCCATGTGTATCTTTCACTGTTTTGTATAAGAACGATGCAAATCAGAAATGTAATGACTTTTTTTTGATGATTGAAAAATATGTGAAGCTTGAAGATTATGTTACCTATCTGTTGTATTTTTTCAAAGGTAACCATTCAATCTGAATGTATAAATTATTGTCTAACTTTAATATAAAACTATTACAGTGTTATAATATTTCATAGTTTTAATAATTCACAATTACAATTAATGCCTCTGATGTATAAAATTAATGTATATTATTGCTACGATGTCACAGAATTAATGGTGAACTGTGAGAATCAAAATGTCCGTGTCTCGAGGTTTATGGTAATATATTCTACGTTTCTATCGTCAACGATTGTATGTTATCCAATATTTAACACTTTTATCTTTGAATCAGTTCATTTGACAAATAAATTTGTAAAAATGTTTTTAAAGGTGGTAACTTTGAAAAGATTCGACTACTTAATTCACTACTTGAATGCCGTAAATTAACATTCACAGAACAATTTTTGATTAAAAATAACTATTTATAACCGGATATAACGTGCTCTGATAGTCTGAATGAACACTATGAATATTAAAATTTAACAAACTTTTCTACATTTTCTATATATCTTTCCTTCATATGTAATATGAGAAGGTAATCAGTCAACCTGTTTAATATTTGACTTACATGCAATAATATACTCAAAAAATGATCTCACTTTGTGTAACCGATGTTACTTAAGTAATTATCAAACTCACTTAATGACAGGTGGAAATTAAGACTAAACAGTTTTTTGATAGTTAAGAATGAATCTGAGGAAAAATGAAAATAATATTTAGTGGCCCAACATCTGACTCCAAGTAGATCGTATGTTGATTGCTAATGAAATATACATCCTGGCTACCCTCGTATATACTCATCGACTTTGATCGCGTTGGTAAATAACGGAATTAAATAAATCAAATGTGAGAATGAAATTCTGAGTATGTAAATATTGTACAATCTTTGATCGTAAAGTGAAGTGAAACGAAATGACGCGCAATGTAGATGGCCAGTGAACCAACTCAATTCAACCAAGCATTGATCGATATTTATAGTCAGATAAAAATAAATTACAAACATGTGATGAATAAGATAAGAAATGCACACAAAAATACGCCTAGATAAAATTAGTCAAGGTTGGTAAACGAAGAATTAACAACGTCAAAATATGACTCAAGTAGAATGGATAAATTGATCTGTCCAGAGGATAGAATAACCTATGTGGGCTTGATATGGTATCAACCCCTGTAAATAAATTAATTGATTCACCATATTGAGTTGGATACGATTAAATTTTTCAGGTATATTGACAATTTATCTAAATTTCAGAATATTAGTAATAATGGAGATACTATTCAAAGAATATATGATTATTCCAACAGATTACAACCCAAACAATTTAATTCTCTCTTATAAAGAAAATATTACATAACACGAGATTTCTATGTGATAACATGTGTAGATAAATTTATAAAGAATAATCATCTTTGGGATCTAAATAAAAAATTTTTTACCAATCTATTTAGTTCTGTTGCTATCTTGGAGACAATAATTTCTTTAAAAAGAAAAGCTAAAATATCAATCTATGGAAAATCAATAACTCAGAGTTGTTTACATACTATATGTCATACCTAATAGTAAATTATCAAATGGTTATCACATTTTTATGATCCATAGTTGGCAAAGAGAAAAATGTAATATCAATTAAATTGACATTAAAAAAACAATAATGACTAAGCAAATTTTTACAGTTTACATTGTAACTAATTGAATACATTATGTAGAAACATTATTTAACATGACAGTTTACACTGGTACAATAGTTTGATATGTAAAGCATGAAATTCTGTGTTGTAAAATTCAATAAAGACTTTACCAAGTTGATTTGTAAAGTGATAATGGAGTGACCAGTGGAGTTCAACCGGGTCAGTTGTGAGTTAGTAACTCACTGATGACGATGGTGGATTTGTAGCTCAATTTCGTGGGCTAGTTGAAGTTAGACATTAACACCCTTGGATGCCGGCCGGCTCAGTGGTCTAGTTGGTTAAGTGCCTGGCGCGAGACTGATAAGTCCTGGGTTCGAATCCCACGAGGCGGGGTCGTGGATGCACACCGCTGAGGAATCCCACAATAGGACGAAACGGCCGTCCAGTGCTTGCAGGTTTTCCATGGTGGTCTAGCTTCAATCGACTCATGATCTCAACTGTTTAAATCACTACAATCTCTACAAAACCCCTTCTGATACTGATTAGTTGTTAACTAGCTTTTGTCAGTTTTTATGTTTTAATTGAGTCGAGATTTCGGAAATTGAATATAGTGAATGTGTTTGGTTAAACTGATGCCGTTCAATTAGTTTGTAGGTATCATTACCAAGATTTGGTTTGGTAATTTCAAATAAATTGAGCATTGGGTAGATTGTTATAAATAAATAATATATTTACAATATCCCAATGGGTAGAAAATCTAATTTTTCTACTTATCGGGATATTAAAAATTTATTATTTATTTATGACGCCGTTTAAGTTCGTTTTACATGCTTAATGGTATCTATCATCCAACATTGGAGCAGGATAATAACTGCTTTTATACATACTATCTTAGAAACGCTAACGAGCTCATTGAGCTCAATACAGTTCACAGAAACAAATTCAAATTATTGCAGCATCTATTAGAGGCGAAAGAAACAGTACACATAGCAACTGGAAAGAGATTGAAAGGGGATGAATCTATCATGTCAGAAGGTTCTGGGTCACAAAAGCCACCAACATGGAAATCATATTTCAGTAAATAACCTTGGCGAGATTCGAGAGAGAAAGCACAAGAAGACAACAGATATCAGAAGTCGAAAAAATGTGTATAAACAAGCAAACAAATGAGTGAAGAAAAACCTTGGAAATGACGAGTGGAAATGTATAGAAAATCTGTGGTTTATGACAGAAAAAACTGTGAGAAGCGAAAACATACGAGGACTTCATGATACAACAAAAAAGGTCAACAGTAAAATACAGAAGACCAGAGAGACAATCCCAGGATAACAAAAGCTGTCCAATCAATGAAAGTCAACAACACAACAATAAGCGGGTAATACAATTTGAAGAGCTCTTCAGTACACCATACACACTGAATCCATCAAATATTGAAGCAACACATACAGATCTTCCTATAGATTCTGCCGCATCAACAATCATATGAATTAGAAAGAGCATCACAGAAATTGAAAGGGATGATGGAACAGGACCAGCTGGCAGCTGACAGTAAAGTCATAATTTTCAACGTAGACGTTGAGGTAGTTTTGTTGTGTGTATCTGATAATTTGAAGACTTCTACAATCATCATTAAAAGCCTACAGGTATTTTAAACGTCAGTCAACTTAACATACTCCATATGCGTTAACCGGATACCGTCACCAACAACCTACTATGAGAGAGAATATTCCAGCTTGCAGCTAGAAAAGTAATTAGGAAAAGACGTTGGTGTTGGTTGGGATACACATTGCATAAATCATCAAACCGAATCACGAGGAAGCCTTATCTTGGAATCTTCAAGGCTTAAGGAGAATAGTAAGATTAAAGAACACTTTGCTCTGGTAATTGAGGGCAGATATTAAAAAATGAATAACAACTGAGAATAATTGAAAATAGGGCGCAGTTCAGAGTTCGTTAGAGATTCCTGATCATTAGATTATAACCCAAGAAGAGCAATAGGCTTAAATAAGTAAGTATGCCTAAAGAGCAGACTAAAGATTTATGATCACCACACTATGTTTTGCTGTACAATCAGTGAATTAAATGCTTGAAAACTTTGGTTGATGCTGTTCGGTAACCTTTTCATTAACCAAATCCTCTTTTTACACATGGAAAACTCGGTTTTCCAGACTCTTAAAAACTTATGCAACTTAATATGAGAATTTGTATTTGTATTAAAAAGAGAGTACTTCTTTGAGTTGGTATCATAAAAAATTAGTCATCCTCACATTTCTCTCCATACGATGGTTAAAGCACGTGATGATTGGATACAAACCGAGGTTTGATAAATAAAATTTTGTTCAAACAAATTAGCTAGCAATGAAGAGGTAATTAATCTGATACTTTTGATTACGATTTATTGCTTTTAAATGCCAATCTACTTTGTGAAATAAAACTGGTGTTGTTCGTCATTTCAGCAAATAAATTAAATATTCAATGGCTTGCATAAGATTTGCAAATATTCAGTGTAAATAAAACGTTAGTGTTTATCAAGTGGTATGAAGAAACAGAATGTGAAATTCATTAACCAATTCATATTTGTTTAACACACCTTACTGTATTTTCAAACGTTATCTGTATATGTATGGTAAAGTTTCTTGTTGAGAGGAAGTGAACGAGATGCACCATAAGATTTTTGTTAAAGAAGATGAATAAATATTTGTTGAAACTAAGTGATAGTCATGTTATTGATGGTATGAATTTCACATAATTCAGAGAAAACGTTTTGGTTTATTGCAATCAATACTGAAAAAATCAATGATATTTAAAGATGCATCCTGCTAAGAGTGAACAGGTAAAGGAAAAAATGAATGAATTATAGATTTTGTTCATCCAGTACAAGTTTGGAAGTATAGCAAATTCAGAAATTCTTCCGTTGAAGCTTTGAGTTCAAGTGTATTTGAACCTGCTTAAATAGGGTTAAGGGGATGACAACTTTCCGCAGGTCCGACCAACAGCTGACAGCACTATTCTCACGAGACCAAATGTAGACAATATGTGGTTTTAACTTCTCGAAGCTCATTATGATAGGTTATAACAAAACTTTGTATCAAATTACACTCTTATTAAACATATCCCATCTGTGATGTTGTTCACCTAACTTCCCAATTCTTTCGGGACGTTA